TGCATAAACAGGTTGGATTGATTTTTAATATCCAGTATGCTAATCACGAAATCGTTGACTTGCACACCTTAACGGAAGTTTTATTAAAGCAAGATAATGAAAAATATGTATATGAATGATTTAATTAAGATCGGCCGGAAATACTCCAAAAGTTTTCAATTAAGAAATGGAGATAAGAGAAATTAGCCATCTGTGAATTTTAATAATCATACTTTTGCTATCTAATTTTATTCATTTATATAAGTAAAATCATATTCTTGTCTTACAATTAGCAGAAGAGTAATAAATCTGCGACGGTTAATGAATATTGTGGTTTAGTCAATTTGAAAACGGATACCGCATATACTTGTTAAAATTGTATTTAGATGGAGTTATGTCTTACTTTAAATACCTATAAGCTATATAAGCTGTAAAAAAACACATAGTGCAAAAAGATATAGAAATTTTAATTATCTAATTAACTAATATTTCTAGAAACGGTTTGTAATCAAATCATCAGTTGCGTTTGGAAGTGAAAACCCAGTAACGCGAGCTTGCATGCTTTTATTTGACAATTTCTATCTCTCTCTCTTTCTCTCTCTCTCTCGCGCGCGAAGTAGAAACGTCACACGACACCATGACAGCTTTTCAGATATATCCTTTCTCCTTGTGTTACGACATCGGTGTTCAAAGGACCATATATCCCCAGTGTTGGGCGCGCGTTTAAGACGCTAAAAAAAGCACGTGTGTGCGACAGACAATTACGAGACCGGCTACGACGACTTAAGACCACATGAAGGATCACGCACGTCAGCGCGATACTCGGGCGAACGGGGCCCCTTTCACAATGGCTGACTTCGTAAGGCAAAAATCAGAAAGTTAGGCCCCCGATCCTGCGCTACATCTCGGCGCTGCGCGCAAAGAGTGGGACTACCGAACGAGCGAGTTTCCGAGGGATGCGCAGCTGTCATAGAGAGAGTGCAGCGATTGGCCGCTACTATTAGTCGGCCATGCTGAATCTTTCCGGTCTGGCTTCTCCTCACAATGGTACACGGAGGACTTGGAACAGGGTCAGTAACTTCGCCAAAGATCAGGGTCGCCCAATAACATCTCACGTCGCTCTCGCGTACCCGCGAGCGTTTCGTTCATTCATTGTTCAACTGACAACACCGCTCGTCAACTCGATAAAATAGGCTGGATCAACGTCGAATCAATTGTCTATATTTATCTCTTAACAAATAGACACTGAAAAAATGATCAAAACCGAAAGAGAACATTTTCATATAATTTATATTTTTTAACACCGAGAGATTCTGCGTGAAAGACGTGTGAGTTAAATACGTACGTGCGGTATGGAAATCTCTCGTGCCTGACGATACCCTTGACTGTTGCTGGTGACACGTGGAATATTCCGCGTGGGACGAGATTATAACAAACAGAAGCGCGGCGTGCCTCTGTTATTGAAATAAATCCCGTCATAATCATTGCTAACACTTCTGAAAAGAATCTGGCCTAAGCTAGCAGTAGCACGGGAGAAAATGGTCAAGAGGCGGAGAGAGAAAGACAGAGGGTTGCTGGGGACACGTCCACGATTGTCGGCCGCGTGCCGCCACCCTAAGGATTAAGCGCAATTATTGGAATCACTTCGGCAGACCACAACCCGTTTCACACGCTCCTTGTGTCATTTCGGACTGTTATGAAAGTTCTTGCTCCATTAAAATATATTTACATTTTAAAATATATTTCGAAAGTTGCAGAAATAAATGCACGGCTAATATTTAGATATAAAAAGAATAGTTCGATCGTATATCTTTCGTATATGAATTAGAAACGTAATTTTGAACCTCAATTGCATTCTACTTGCAATTACATTAACTCCAAAAAAAGAACCGTGAGTTAAAAAATACTGACTTATAAGAAAATTAATTTTTTATGTTTATAAAACAATGTTTATGTGTATATCTTATAAAGTATATAAAATCTTATAATTTAGTATGTTATTTTTTTTTAATAATCGAAAATCTTGAAAGGTTTTCTGAAAGATATATTATAATATTATTTTGTAAATAACTGAAAGCAAAAAATAACAAATTAAATATTATAAAACTTTAAAGAGTATAATAGATATCTTGCACATATCTTATTTTTTGAAAATATCGACCTTTCCTTTCTCACAAACATGTGCTTATGAAGAAATAATTATAAGACTTGTATTTAAGTGAATGTGCAGTTTAGCGAACTGCAATAAAATAGTATAACGAGGTAACATTAATCGCGATTTGTACACCGGAATTTGCAACGTACCGAGTATATAAGGTGTCACCTATTCCTCTCGCTCCTTTCCAACATTATGTCTTTAATAATTAATTTCTATAATTCATTTAACAACAAGAATTTTACCAAAATTAATTTTAAATTAAACATATATTAAACTAGTATTATTTATTTGTTTACACGATGCTCATTCTAATCTAATAAATTTTAAAACTATGAGTAGCTGTAATATAAAAAAATATTTATACATTATCGTTCAAGATCAAGATTTGCCAAAAAAATTGTGAATAATCTCAAATGCGGAAAATTCAGGACACTTTGTATAACACTTTCGAATTCAAGTGGCTGACATATTTCTCGTCGATGAAAGCCAGGAAAGCCGACCTCCTCTCTCTTTTTCCTCGTATTACCTCGACGAAGGAAACATGACACCCGTTAGCACAGTTGCAAAATCCGCCAACGAAAAACGTATGTTTTAGCGAGCTGAGATACGTACCTATATCGCGTTAACCTCGTAATTAGCTGCACAAAAGCCATGCAAAGTACATTACGTAGTCTATATCTACGAATGATATGCTAGCCGTTGCATTTTTTCCGATCACGCTTCGCGAGTTGGGTTCGTAAGCGTGCAGTTATGGCAGTGTTTTTTTTTCTCGATGCTATTCACTGGCGTTGTATCTATGAATATTAAACAGCTGGAAATTCCTTTCAAAGAAAGGAAACAAAGGTTTCGATAAATTTTTAGTTTTTTCTATCAGCATTTTATTACAGTATTAAGATTTATTGTATTCTTACACGCACGTACATAATACTGCGAGCTGTCAAAATACGATATTATATGATGTTTTAAAATTCATAGTTTGTAGAGTTGCGATTGCCTATCATATTTTTATTTCAAAAATAGCCTAAAGATAAAGATAAAGATATAAGCTAAAGATTATCACAAAGCATATGTTTTTTTACAATAAATACAATGTAATAATAAATACAATAAATACGACAAGAATAAGCAATGCTCGATATATATCTTTTATAGTTTGCAGCAAATATTTCGAGGACATTTCTCAAATCGTTGAACTCGCGACTCCGCAGCTTCGTCAATAAATCTCTAATGCTTGATAGACGCATTCCACGTGCGCGCACGTACACGTGGTGTCACAGCCTAACCGCTCGTCACCCCTTTTGGGATGCGGCTTGGGTTTTGGCTTGCTATAACTCCGATAATTATGTTACCAATGCGTCGAAGGACAAAGAGCTCTCGAGCGACGTGGATGGCTCACTCGCTCGCGCGAGAGCCAGAAGAGACGTGGTTGCTTGGTAGTCCAGCTGCCGGTAATCCTCCCTTTGTAATTTGCCTCTATGACCCCCCCCCTTCTTCAGTGGCGTCGATTTTTTTCCGTGAACCTTTCCCCGCGCGTTTTCCAACAATCTTCTAGCCATCGGTGCGCCACTTTTGTCACACAATTCTAATTCATCGTGCTTTTACTATGTCAATGCAACTGCATCAGTAAACGACTAACAACTATATAAAATAGATTACAAAATTAAATTAGTATTATGTAAATAAATTACATGTTACATATAAGACATAAATGTTCGAAGTAATCGTTCAAAATAATTGTCACAGCCATTCTACGACGGATGGAATAAGAAAATAAATTATTCTTGAATATTTATAAAGAACTAGTAAATTTTTTTCTTTCTGCAAGAACAAATTCTTTCTATAAGCCTCAAAGAGCAATGAAAGTTTGATTCGCGAGGTCGTTGTACGGTCTACGCCAATGACGAGCAGTTGATGTCACCGTGGCCGTGCCCTCCGGATAATAGAGTCCGCGACTTTAATGGACTCGCTAATCCTCTTCCCTGTTTGTCGGCGAGGGGGCACGTATTCAGGATGCACGGAGGTAAGAATCGGCAGCGAGGGGGCAGGACGGGGGATGGTGTGACTGCGGTGCGTGCGCCTCTCTGGGGTGCGCGAAGCGAAGACTGCATTCGTTCGTGCGGGCCGCGCCGTGACGGCGCGCGGCGTGGCGGCGTGAAGGGGGTGACACACAAGGGGGTGATCTCTCCGGCCTGTCCTGCCGGAGTGGTGACGTACAGATACGCCCCTTGTGCGGAACCATCGGTGCGATGATACCCTCGGATTTCTCGGCCGAGCTATTTGCCGCGCACGTTATGAGCACGAGCGTTCTCTATAACTGCATTTGTCGGCAGAAATATGTTTTCTTCTAATATTCATTCATTGGAACAAATTTAGTTTAAAGAAATGCGATGGTTACGTCGATGGTTGAGAGCGACCGGTAGATCCGAAAGGGACGATAAAGGGGTGCATAACTAAACGTACAAACATACGTCTCAAAGTTGACATAAACGATGACAATACAATCTTAAAGTATAAACGATGACGGTATAATTTCAAAGCGACGATTTGATATAACAGAACGATTTGTATGATTTTTAGATCGAGAAACTTGAATAACATTTATTTATACAATTTTTCTTCCCACAATTTTCGTACAACACATATTCCCACAATTTACAAAATGGTGTGAAAATCTAAATGCGATTGTGAATGAATGAAATGCTATGTGAAATGGGAGTGAATTAAATGGACGTAAAAGTATGACACGAATTATATTATAGGAGTATAATTCTTTAGCAAAAATTAATTTTTCTTTTTCTAATTAAATAGATAAAAATAGAAAGTCTTAAAACTTAACTTTTTTAAATTTAATTCGTTTTAATAAATTAACGTAAAGATGTTTATAATAAAATATTTACGAAAGGAAAAATAAACAGCCACTAGTATCCTCGCGTTTCAACGAGGATTACGAATAGGTTACGAATTCATCAATGGTAAAATCTGATGAATGCAATGGATGAAATGATATGTAAAGAATGGATGTTTTTACGAAAAAGGAGACCGATGCCTTATAGATATCGTCGTCCCAGTGCCCTCTGAACAGATTATCCCTGACGTTGTCCTTGTGGAATCGCATTGGCAGTGGGCAGATTTTGCTGGATTTGCAAAAGCTGCTGAAGCTGTGGCGGCAGATTTCTGGAATACTGATAATTAGGCTGGCTGGCTTGCTGCTGCTGCGGTTGCGGTTGCGGTTGCGGTTGCGGCGCATAATTGGAGCGATATTGCGGGTTGTATTGTTGTTGTGGTCGTTGAGCGCCGGGTGGCGGATTATATTGAGCTGGTCGTACGGGAATCTGCTTATAGGTTGGCTGCTGAGGCGCCTGACCTACTTGTACTTGCGGTCGATACTGAGTCAGCTGATTTTGCTGCAAATATTGAGGCTCAATGGGTCTCGAAGGCGCCAAGTTTGGCACCGGTTGCGGCGGAAGGTGAACAATCGGATCGCGATACTGCTGCGCGGCCAATATCTGCTTGATCGCTGCCGGTGCTTGATTGTAAGCTCGGTAATTGCCTTGCTGTGCTTGTCTACGTTCCCGGATGTGGCCTATAAAGATAATTGGAAACAAATGCAAATCTTCAGCAGGAAAATGGATTTTATATGTTGACGACACAACGGAAAAATATATTCTCAAAAAATATAAGACGTCGAAATTTATTACTCACTGTGGAATTCCGTTCCCAGCACGGGTGCCACGAAGAGGATCAAAAACTGAAAGGCAATATATCAAATAACGAAAGCACTTTTTTGCGTACAAAAAAATTCAAGACATAGATGTTTTTTATGTAACTGTATCAATAGAAGTCGGAAGGACGTGTAATTTTTTATACATTCCGTAAAATGGAAATCTTATCTTGGAAAGCTGAAAAAATTTTTTATTTGCATGATGTAAATAGAATTTCTTAGCTGACATTGATTATTTATGCATCGGCGCCGTAATTTGCACCACGAGAAATGAATCGATTATCGAGGTATGTAAATTGGTAAATTTAACTAGATCACCGCACTTGATTCATATCGGAAGAAATGTAATACGACATTTTCCAAGCGTGACGATTGCGTGCAAAGTATCTCGCTACGATGATATTATACAATAATCCTTGAATTTAAAAATAAAGATGTTATCGATAATAACATTATTTATGAAGCTATATTAACGGACTTTGTAAACTTTCTCTGTGAACAGGATTCATATAATAAAATGAACATAATAAAATTTGTAATGAATATTTATAGAAATCGGTCATAAATTAAAGATTAAAAACATAAGAAAATTACATGTCTCATTGTGGTAAATGAGAACAGTTACGAATTTAGCAAACTCCCTTTTTTGAACATTCTTTTTATCTTCAAATGATCCAATACACCGAACGTTAATTTTCTTCACGAGAAAAAGAAAGGAAAGATCGTTAAACGCGAACGTTCGGTTTTGTCAATTTTTTATAATCGAAAATGGAGATACTTAACACTCGGCGATCGATGAACGATAAAGTTTTGCTTATCTTCTCTTTTTTTCCTTCAGTTACGTGGAGTTATAGGGCCAAAGCACATATGACAGTCGTAGTCGTGGACGTAAGTAACGCACAAGCTTTGGCGTATCCTGATCTGTCAGGTCGGGGACTACGACCGTCGTATATCGCTACGCCATGTTATGTGCTTTGACCCATAGGAATAAAACTGCGACGAGATTTTAACGATCAACGCGAGATTGGAAAGCAAAAGCGAGCACTCGCTCGAACGTCGGCTACTCCACGGAGCGGCTTTGATCGCGCTTTCTCCCCGCGTGCATCCGCGCCGCGGAATTTCGCGAGGTTTTTAGGGTCGCGTAGACTTACGAGGAATCTCATGATTGTTGAACAACGATATCCGAAGGGCAGCGGAACGAAACTGGCGGCCGCGTCGCGACGCACTTCTATATGGGGCCCGGTCGTCGCGGACCGAACCGCGCCGTCGGCCACCACCAGCTTTCATGGTTGGACGGGTTTCGACCGATTTTTTTCGCTTGCAAATCCCCCGCCCGTCGTCACGTAACGTACCCAACGCAACGGACCAACGCGCCCCGTGCTAGCTGGTCGCTAGTTGCTCCAGGAAATGACCGGCGCGGTTGCACTAGAAAAGTCAAAGCGCGGTGCAGTTATACGTTTGTCTCTTTCGTATACAATGCCTCGTGGAGAATTGTAAAATAATAATTTCGTTTTAATTTCTGTTTAATAAAATTTAAAATTAAAGTTAAAATAAATCGGAAAATTATTGTGAAATATTATCGAAGAAGTAATCTACCGCAATTAATCCGGAAAAGATTTTATTATTATTATTATAAATTAATTTTATATTTACTAAAAAGTAGTATTTTCCAGCAAATTTTATTATTCATTATTCGTTATTGATTAGCAGCAACAAAAAAGAAAAGAAAACATAAAATTGAATAAAGTTTATGAGAGAAAAATAAGCAGAGATGTCTCATCTACATGATGTAGCGTGACATCGAATGAAACTAATTGTAAATAATAATGTTTATTTATAAATAACAAAATTGCAATAATAGTAAATTAATTTCTCCTGCGTAGAATTTAATATTCCTTTCATACAAGGTTTATGTAATTTTACATCACATCGTAGATTATAGCGATACCGTTACGTGAAAGTGGTTCGACCGTGTCTCTTTTCCCCGTGTTTTTCTTGCAACCATGTAGAACTGTCGAATTTTAGATTGAAATTTTGCGTTGCTTATCGAGTCGTTGACTATGGTAAGCGAACATTGTCATGCATTATACGTATCACCAATTATTTTCGAACGACGTGAAAGTTGTTCGTTTCTTTGCAGTTGTAGCTCTATGTTACATATATACAGTATCAGTCTCAGTCATAAAAGTCTTTATTTAATTATTCTTATACTTAGACTATTACTAACATTATCTTTATAATTATCTTATATATAATTATCTTTATTACCTATTATATTTCAAAAAAGTCTCAAAGTTCTAATGTCCAAAATTCGCGATATCTAGCTCTTTTCAGAATTGGTATTCAGTTTGTTTCTATTTTTATATTAATAACCAGTTATGATTTATTTAATAACAAGCACTATATCTTAGCTTTCAAAGAAATTATAAATCGTAATATTTTTCTTCTATATCGTAAGCGTATCAATCTCGCCAGTGTACTCAAAGACTTGCAGTGCGCGCGAATACCTACACGTTGATTATTCGCGAACTCGATGTTCACGATAGATACGTTACATTCCACGTGCTCGACGAATGAACGAAGGTGCACTATAATAGATATCTGCTTCGTAGGGAAGGGTGATATATGTATGCATTGCATCCAGTCACGTAATGGTTGAGCCGGCACCATACAGGAAACGAACGCATGCATCGCTTCCGTATTCGACGCGTGTCGTAAATCGAGTGCATCGTTAAAGTGCACAGCAACAACATATCGCAGCATGTTATGCACATTTTAAGGATGCCACAAGATATACCAATACATAAAAATATTTAAATCGACATAATACACCTTAAATATAATAAATTAATGTAGATATTATTATATATAGACATTCTGACAAAAGTTCCTTGTAATATCTAAAGATCGCCTGCGAAACACACCTGCTGTTTCTTAAAACATCGACATTGAAGAATATTGCATTCAACATTCTGCAAAAAAAAAATCGCTGAATTTAATTGACGAGTAATTCCATATCGTAGGAACAGTGCTCACTCGCGATTATCAGCTCCCTCTCTCTATACTACTCTCTCTCCATCGCAATTTTATCGTCAAGTGTGTATACATATATATTTATGAGCCAAGATTGCGTAAAGAATTCAGCATTCCGCTTTCAACATTCCAAATTCCTTTCAATGCTTTAAATATATTAAACATTAAACGTATCCGATTGAGCGTCGTAATTACTTAAAAAAATAAAAATGATGATGAGATGAGATTTATAGTGCACGCATAAAAAATGTAGAACACAATTAAAATAATCTCTTTAATGATTTTAATGCTAACCTTTAGACATTAAATAAAAATCTTATATTTCAGAATCATTTGATATTAATTTTAAAATATGTAAATTGAGAAAAATATCTTTACATTTCTCCTCAATAAAGCGTAAGTAAATAATTAAATTTAATGGACTTTAAAAATAACGACTATCTCCAATTTATTGAAGAATATATTCTTTAAAGTTTGACTTATATATCGGTGGCTAAATTAGATTGGGAAAAAACAAACTTATATCGCAAGGATAGAATCGCAAATATTTTATTTGGAAACACGTATAAATGTAAAAAACTATAATACAGATAAACTTATTACATATATATTTTTTTCAAACATATATCAATATTCGTCTGAATATATTATCGCGAGAACAACGTTTGGCTCTATTTCTCTTTTCGTTGCATAAGAATCCTGAAAAAAAATTGATTCTCAGACGTCAATCTCACTTTATCTCGTTGTGATACCTATATCGAAACTTCTGATCAAATATGAGCAATCTGTAAGAATGTATTTTTTTTTTTCAACCACAGATTTCGCAAAATGTTGACAGCGATAGAGAACTTTCTTTCATTTTTAAAATATTTCTTATTTGTTGGATAAAATTGAAGAAAAATAACTTTAATATCAAAATTCGAGCTTCAAAAATTGAAAAAATAAAAAAATAGATATATGTATTCAATAGAAAAACTAAAATATTCATATCGCATTAATTACCCCACGTATCGTTCATATCTATTACTTAACAAATATCGCATTAAATAGAGAGCATTTTTTCCTCTTTACTTCAGAAAGACCAACAAGAATTTAGAAGATTTCAAGCTATTTATGATTTTCTTTTGATTGTAATCCTTTTCATAAACCTAACAAGTAAATTCTCAAAATAAAAGCAATGTTTACCCTACCTTCATATAGTAAATTTATTTATTGGACCAAATTATATGTGTTTAAAAAAACTCGAGCGTAATTTATCACATTGTAGAATAGAATCCAGTCCTGTTAGAAAGACTCGTTCTAGGCATAGCAATGAGGATGCCTCGTCAAGATAATCAGTACTGATTCTCGGTGACGGGTCTTACGCCAGGCTGCTGCTGATTATAGCCGAGTTGCTGATTATAACCGAGTTGCTGATACTGCTGGTTCTGGTCATACGCGGGCTGTATGCGGGCCTGCGTGTACGCGCTAGCCTGACCGTCGTAGGCGCCACCCTGACCTTGGTATTGCGCTTGCTGCAGCGGTTGTTGTTGCAACTGCTGCTGCTGCTGCTGCTGCGCTTCCGCGCGATGCGGCACGTATGGCTCTCCCGCACGGTACGTGACCTGGTTGGCAAAGATGTTGTATGGCGTTTGCGCCTGGAATTTCAGCAGGTCGCGCAATTGAGACGGCAGATTGGGCGAGTACTGAATCTGCGGCTCTGCCGGCGGTTGGGATACCCTGCGATATTGCGGTTGCTGATGTTGCTGTTCAGCCTGACGTTTGCTTCTGGAGTGGCCGCGTGACTTTTGACGAGGTGATCCACGGATCACGGGCTCAGGTGGAGGCGCGGCTGCCGCTTCTTGAGCCAACTTTCGGAGATGTTCCTGGACCTGCTGAGACTGAGCCCGTATGGCGGCCTCTTCGTCGAATCTGTAATTGATTAAGAAAAATAATGATATTTAACATCGATAGAGACATAAAGATATTAAAGATGCAGTCTTACTCGATGTCCTTATTGTTTCGTACCTGTAAGGTTCCGGAATTATATTGATGTACGGAATTTGTTGCTGGAATTGGAGCAGTTGTTGGATCTGCGGCGGTGCGTTAGAGTAAGGCCTGTAATTCGGCACTGCTTCCGGTTGTTGTTGTTGTTGCGGTTGCGGTTGCGGTTGCGGTCGATGAACTCTTTGTCGGGGCGAGGCTCGCGGAATCGGCGCCGCTGCTTGCGCGTATTGCGGTTCCGCCTGAGCTTGCGGCCGTGGTTGACGATCGTACGATCTCCAGTTTACCCTGTAACCTTTTGATACATATTTATGTCAATTCGATTCGATATATAGTCCGAGACATAGTGACAAAGCTCGTGAAACAAAGTTGATGACAGTACCGCTAGGATCGTCGTACTGGAGCGCTTTTGCATTAATTTGATTAGCATCGTAAGCGGGTTGGATTGCGGGCTGGACTGTGGGCTGACCGTATCGATCAATCGGCCCTTGTACATTGTAGGTGGCCGATCCACCATCCGAGGGCCCTTGAATTTGAAAATTCGAGTGCCCGTCCGTAGCTCCTTGGATCCTGAAGTTAGTATTACCGTCGGTCGCGCCTTGAATGGTAAAGTCTCCCGGACCACCTCCCTCTAAAAACCGAACATTCAAAAATATCATTTTTTTAAATACATAAAAAATTCCAATATACATTTATATCAACATAGGTACCTTATTTTAAATAATGTTCGAATACTATAGTATAACTATAAAGTTATAAAGCCTAAGAAGTTTTAGACTATTTTAGAGTAAAAGACATATAAAGGTAAATATCTAAAAAGAAATTTTTCTACGAAATAATTGTGGATTGAAAAAAATGTAAAAATCTATTGAAAAAAACTAAAATATTCTGAAGGACAACTTTTATAAAAACAAAAGATAAGTATAAATTGTTTCCCGGTTTTTATACTTTCCAGTCCGCATTGTCTACGTTTATCTGCACTTACCACTTGCGTCTGTGTATTCGATTCCTTTCTCTTCGCTGAACTTAAGACCTTGAGCCCGTCGGTGTCCGTCGCTAGGCCCCTGAATTGAAAATTCAGCCAGGCACATGGGTAGTGCCGTCAATAGTAAAATCTATGACAAAAGATTTATGATGGAATTGTATACAATGTATGACATGACATAATATAATAGAGTGCGTTATGATTTATACCTACGTCATAAATAAATCAAGTATCGGTAATAAAAGAGAAAGTTGATTATACAATGGGATGAATAAAATCCATTCAATTACACGTTGATCATTTTTATGTAATTGTATTATTTTTCCAATAATTTAATACTTGGAAAAGATACTAAAATTATATTTATCATTATTATATTGATCTCTTTATGATCGACATAATAATTTTTTTATCTCTAATCATTATAACAATAAATAAAATCGGAATGTAACATTATTACATTTAAACGTTATTTACTTTGCTCTCGATGTTAAGCGCTTTCGATTTCGCAATCAGACGATCAAAGATCATTATCTAATGCGCGTGGCACTAAACCTGAATCCGTCTTACGGTATGTACCATATTGCATATATGGAAGCGTATCGAGCAACCGGCACCGGGAAGCTGGAAGGGAAAGTCCGCGAGCGCATGAATCTTTAATCACGGTAATCGGGGAAAAGGTGAGCACGTTGCCGGTTAACATTCGCGATCGGTAGACGCACTTGGGTCGTTAGGAACGCGGCCGCAAGACAAAAAGGCAGGTGGAAGAAAAAAAAAGAAGAAAAGTGTAAGTCGTCAGTCGACTTATAACTGAGCGATCGAATGCGTTGAGCTGCGAGCGTTACATGGTAGAAAGCGAGGTAGATATTAATCGTTCAGACACGCCCGACGAGATTATTCGAAAAAATTAATTTCGACTCGTTTGAAAATATCTGCGACCGACTGTCACGGGACAAAATGCCGTTCCAGAATTGCACGACGAAAATCTGCCCGAGTCGTATCTCGGAGAACGCGGAAACCGAGCGACATTTCGCGAGGAACAAGTCGCGACACGCATGCTGATTATTGAGGTCTACATACATATGTTCTCCCGTTTAAGCAAGAATCACGACGAAAAAAAAAGATATTATGATTGGCTAAAAATAGCGTAACATACATAAACCAATGTTTAATTTCAATCAACGCATTTATTCTTGTTGCGTTTTTATATCTGTTTCCTTCTTATGAACGCCTTTTGTATGCCGTTGTAGATTTAGCTCTTAAAGAGAAGAAAATATGTGGAGCGATGCTAAGGGAGTCGATGGAACTAGCAGAACAAGCTACTCCCCATGTTGAAATCTCGATCCGCGAGCTTGCAACGAGATTGCAAAAGTCTGATTACTTGTTTCCGCGGCTGCGACAATTGGGTCGTGAAACGTAGCTGCACTCCCGGCCAGTGACCGCGGTAATTAAGCGGCATTCTGAATCGTCACCCTCTTTACGACATCCAACGATGCAATTACGTGCACGACATTCATCATTCCCTTATTCACGCTTGTTGCCTTTTGACGGGAGGCGGGTTGACCAGTACCTCTGACAAAACAAACGACTTCCCGTTTTCGAATCTTGCGCGTTACGTGTAATAAAACCGTGTAAAAGAGCGTATTCAATATTTTCACGACAAAAACGTGAAAAACGGAGGTGCGAAAGACACAGCGAAATAAATTCGTCGTCCAATTAATATCTGCAAAAATATTTTGCGACACATGGCAATTAAATGTACGCGACACTTCGTTTCACACTTTTCCCAGTTTTTGACGCGACGAGATGGTCAGTGTGAAACGTACATACATGCTTATGTCTCTACAAGATTCACACAGTGATTGACACACAGTGATTAAGAATTTGATCGGCGGATATGCGAGAAAATGTTCAGGAACCAAATAGCGCAAAACAACGGGCGACACCTGTTAATCGAATCGTCGCATAATTTATCGCTGGTACATCCGGTTTGCGTATCCAGCACGATTATATAGGCGCACGCGACTTCATTTCGCCTACATCAGACACCGCGAAGAGAAACGCGCGACTCTCGGAAAAGTCGTACGCGTGCATTCTACATTGTTCTTTACTTTTTGAACGAGGACTTTCGATTCAGAGAAAAAGAATGAATGCAAGGCAGCTGGCGTACTTACGTGCAATTTCATGGCGTGAAAGCTGGTCGATTCGTTCGAGGGTGGAGTGTTTCTGAGGCGGGCGCGCGGTCACCAGAACAACTTTATAGTCGGCCACGTAAAAGGAGCCTTTCGATGACGGGGATGTGACTTGGCGAGAGCCACCTCCATTTTGCACCTCGTCGGCCGGCCGGCCGGCCGAC